CGTATCCCCATACTTCGGTTTGGGTGCTGGCATGGTATTCAAATTTCACTTCTTTTTATTTTGTGGTTTTGGTTTCCGTTCCATCTTTACACTTGCCTGATAGCGCTTAGAGACTTTTTGTATTTTGCACTCTATAAATTAAAAACCATTAACCATTAACCATATATATGGCTCTGGCTAGTATCACTAACCAGAGTCTGGTCATACGATTCTGCGCTTTTGTGTCTGCCATTTTATTGTTTTGATTTGTTTATGCCTACTTGTATGTATCTTACGCATAATGGCAAAGATTTCAACCTCCGCAAAAGGAGATTACGTATTCACAGTTATGTAACGGTGGCAAAATTGTTTAGATGCAGTCGTACGTGGCGCCCCATTGTTTGTATTCCCACCATGCATTTCGGTGGAACAGTTTTTTTTTTGTGGAGAACTCATAGAGCTATTATTATACCTCTATGGGAGAACTCTATCTTGTGTTTCTAGTATCTGGACATCTCGCTAGTTACGCCACGGATTAACGTGGTCCGGTGTTAGATACGCCTGGCTTATCTCCCAGGTCTGAACGTAGCATTAGCGTACGCCACTACTACCTTATGACAGTAACGCATCAGGGAGTTTGAACTCAAAATAAGCTTAGATGTAAACAGGAAAAAAAAAATGCGCGAATTACGTAAACGAATATTTCGCGCGAATATTTACGCTAGCGTTCGTTAATCGCCGAGTCTAGACATCTCGCTAGTTACGCCACGGATTAACTTACGCCCGGTGTTAGATACGACTGGCGTATCTCTCAGGTCTGAACGTAGTCTAAATCCTAGGTCCTGTTAGTGGCAGGATTTTTTTTTCTCACAACCGAAAACAACCTCACTCCCCAAGCCTCATAATGAGACTTGGTTTATATAAAGCATCTTGTGTGCATGTTTCTGCCATTATGTGAAATGGTTTGCTACTTAGGAAGTTTGCTATTATCAATCCTTAACCCAACCCGTGTGCCTAAATAATATATTTAAAAACTGTCAACGGTCAAATTGTGGTCCAAAGGGCATGTCTAGTGTAGAGCTGCCAAAAAAATTAGGTTAAACCAAGGAAAATTAATACAAATTTATAGAACCATATCTATTTTTAGAAACTATATTGAAGCTCATTATTAAAAAAGAAATTTTAATAAATAGTTATTTTCTTTTTAATGACAATATATTGTTCATTTTGTAACAGAGCCGGCAGTTCACCTTTTGGAGCAAAAATTAGCCGATTTGGAAGTCAATCATGAAGCTCTTCAAAAAGTCCACGAGTTGAGTCTAACAGAGGAAAAGTTCATCAAACTATTAAAGACCTCTTCGGAAAGCGATTTAATGCATAAATTACGGTTAAAACAAATAGAAATAATAGCTCTCAAAAATCTATGGAAGAAATAAATAGTAGAGTTATATTCTATAAATGAGAGATATAGTCGGCTGGTAGGGTTATGGTGGGTACTACTGGATCCGATATTATGAAGGTCTTGTGAAAAGGCATTGTACACTCAGTGGAAA